ACTATATTGAATAGGAGTGGTGAGAGAGAGCATCCTTGTCTAGTGCCAGATTTCAAAGGGAATGCTTTCAGTTTTTGCCCATTCAGTATAATATTGGCTGTGGGTTTGTTGTATATAGCTTTTATTATTTTGAGATACATTCTGTTGATACCCAGTTTACTGAGAGTTTTTAGCATAAAGGGCTGTTGACTTGTGTCGAAGGCCTTCATCTATTGAGATAATCATGTGGTTTTTGTCTTTGGTTCTGATTATGTGGTGGATTATGTTTATAGACTTGCATATGTTGAACCAGCCTTGCATCCCTGGGATGAAGCCTACTTGATCGTAATGGATAAGCTTTTTGATGTGCTGTTGCAATCAGTTTGACAGCATTTTACTGAAGATTTTTGCATCTACATTCATCATGGATATTGGCCTGAAGTTTTTTTTTTTAGTTGAGTATGCTGGGTTTTGGTATCAGGATGATATTGGTCTCATAAAATGATTTTGGATGGATTCCCTCTTTTTGTATTGTTTGGAATAGTTTCAGAAGGAATGATACCAGCTTCTCTTTGTACATCTGGTAGAATTTGGCTGTGAACCCATTTGGACCTGGACTTTTTTTGATTGGTAGGCTATTAACTGCTGCCTCAGCTTTAGCCCTTGCTATTGGTCTATTCAGTGTTTCAAGCAAGTGTTCAGGAATTTATCCATTTCTTCCAGGTTTACTGGTTTATATATATAGAGTTGTTTGTAGAAATCTCTGATGGTAGTTTGCATTTCTGTGGAATCAGTGGTGATAACCCCTTTATCATTTTTTATTGCATCTATTTGGTTCTTCTCTTTTTTATTAACCTGGCTAGTGGTCCAGCTCGGTGGACATGTTCTTTTAGTTCAGAGAAATTTGTTATTACCCACCTTCTGATACCTGTTTCTGTCAATTCATCAGACTCATTCTCCGTCCAGCCTTGTTCCTTTGCTGGTGATAAATTGTAATCCCTTGGAGAAGAGAAGTTCTGGTTTTTGGTGTTTTCATACTTTTTGCACTGGTTTCTTCCCATCTTAGTTGCTTTATCTACTTGTGGTCTTTGTAGTTGGTGACTTTTGAATGAGGTCTCTGAGTGGACATCCTTTTTGTTGATGTTTAAGCTATTTTGTTCTGTTTTTAAATTTTTCTTCTAATAGTCAGTTCTCTCTGCTGCAGGACAGTTGAAGGTCCACTCAAGACTCTGCTTGCCTGGGGAAAAACCTCTTTGCTGCAGGGGCTGCAGAACAGTAAGGATTGCTGCCAGTTTCTTCTTGTGTTATCTTCGTTCCAGAAGGGTTCCTGCCAGATGTCAGCCAGACCTCTCCTTTATGAGGTGTCTCTTTGGATATATAGAGGTCAGGGAGCTGCTTGAGGAGACAGTCTGTCCCTTAAGGGACCTCAAGTGCTGTGCTGGGAGCTCTGTTCCTCTGTTCAGAGTTGCTGGGAAGGTACGTTTAAGTGTGCTGCAGTGTGACTCATACCCATCTCTTCGCCCAGGTGCCCCATCCTCAGAAGGTGGGGCTTTATTTTTAAGTTCCTGAAGTGCTGCTGTCCTTTCTCAGAGACGTTCTCCCTAGCAAAGAGGTAGTCTAGTCACAGTCTGTCAGCAGAGGTGTTGCTGAGCTGCCACTAGCTCTGCCTAGCTGCTGTGTAAATTTCCTTGTGGTTTTGTTTACAGAGGTACAGTTAGAACTGCCTCAGTAATGGCAGACCACTTCAGTAATGGTGGACTTCCTTGGTAATGATGGACTGCCTCAATAATGGTGGACTGCCTTCGTAGTGGTGGACTGTCTCGGTAATGGCAGTCACCCTTCCTCCCACCGAGCTGGACCATCACTGTGCTTGCTGCAAAACTCTCAATCCAGACCGTTTCAGATTTCTGGTCTCCTTTGTGGTGGTGATACCTGACAAGCCAGATCACCTGGCTCCCTGTTTCAGCCCCCTCTTTATCAGTTGAATGGGCGGCTCTGTCTCCCCGGCATTCTAGGTGCCAGTTGAAATGGCCACCCAGATTTGTGTGAGTTTTTGCATGGAGACTCACAGTGCTGAAACAACTATGCTGTAAACTCGTGGCACTTTTCAGCCCGGGAATCTCCTGGTCGGTGGGCAGTAAAAACTTGTTTGGAAATATGGTGATCACCCACACTCTGCATTGTTCTTACTTGGAACTGCACTGCAGAGCTGTTCCTATTTGGACAACTTCTTAACTATTTTCTGAAGTTCCCAAAGGTAGTTTGGTTCACATATTGTTAAGTCAGTGTCTTAACGGGGAAACTAGGGCATTGGGTTTCTATTCTGCCATCTTATTGACATCAGTGGATCATGTACTTGTAAAAAATAATTTCAACTTTTATCTTAGATTTAGGAAGTACTTGTTCATGTTGGTTATTTGAGTATATTATGCAATGCCTAGGTTTGGGGTACAATTGATTCTGTCACCCAGGTACTTAGCATAGTACCCAATAGTTGGTTTTTCAACCATTGCCCCACTCCATTCTCCTCCCTTCCTTCTCTACTAGTTCCCAGTATCTATTTTGCTACATTTATATCCATGAGTACTCAGTATTTAGCTCCCACTTCTATAAGTCAGAAGATGTGGTATTTGGTTTTCTGTTTCTGTGTTAATTCACTTAGGATAATGGCCTCCAGTCGAATCCATGTTGCTGCAAAGAACACAATTTAAATCATTGTAATGATGATGTAGTATTCCATTTTGTATATATATTATATTTTCTTTGTCCAATTCACCATTGATGAGCACCTGGGTTGATTCCCTGTTTTTACTATTGCAAATGCTATTGCAATGAACATATAAGCACATACTTTTTTTGGTCAAATTATTTATTTTCTGCTAAATATATACCCAGTAATGGGATTTCTGGGTTGAATAGCACTTCTGTTTTATGTTTTTCGAGAAATCCCCAAATTGCTCTCCATGGAGGCTGAACTAATTTACATTCCCACCAGCAGTGTATATAAGTGTTCTGTTTTCTCACTAGCCTCTCAAGCATCTGTTGTTTTTGACTTTAAAGGAATAGCCATTCTGACTGCTGTGAGATTATATCACAGTGCTTTTGTTTGCATTTCTCTGATGACTAGAGGTGTATTTTTTCATATATTTGTTGCCTGCTTGTATGTCTTCTTTTAACAAGTGTCTACTTATATCTTTTGCCCATTTTTAAATGGGGTTGTTTCTTGTTTGTTCAGTTGTTTAATCTCCTTATAGATTCTGGATATTAGACCTTTGTTGGATGTGTAGTTTGTGAATATTTTCTCCTATTCTATAGGTGGTCTCTTTGCTCCATTGATAGTTTCTTTTGCTAAGATGAACTTTAGTTAATTAGGTCCCACTTGAGCATTTTTGTTTTTGTTGCAATTGCTTTTGAGGACTTAGTCATAAATTATTTCCTAAGGCTGATGTCCACAGGTGGTTCCTAGGGTTTCTTCCAGGATTCTTATATTTGAGGTCATATATTTAAACTTTTAATCCATTTTGGGTTAATTTTTGTCTGTGGTGAAAGCTAGGGATTTAGTTACATTCTTCTGCATATGATTACCCAGCTATCCAGCCCCATTTATTGAATAGGGAGTCCTTTCTGTATTGCTTGCTTGCTATTGTCAACTTTGTCAAACATCAGATGGCTACAGTTGTTTGGCTTGATTTCTAGGATCTCAATTTTGTTCCATTGGTTTATGTGTCTATATTAGTACCACTACTCTAATATTTTGGTTACTATAGCCTTATAATATAGTTTGAAGCTGGGTAATGTGATGTATATGGCTTTGTTCTTTTGAGCAGACACTTTTAAAAATAGAAATTAATGTCAGAAAAACTTTCTGATGTAGTATGTAACATCTTTGGCTGAGAAGCACTTCTCCCCACCCTGGAATATTAGTTTTGTCAGAATGTCTCAGGGAAATACACAACAAATACTTCTTAAGCCTTCAGGTTCAATTCAAAATTAATTTTCATTGGCCTTAATAAAATTACCTATAGCAAAACAATCTGAACATATCTAAAGACATTTTAGAAGCCTAATTGGAAAGACGGAAAGAATTATTTTTTATGAAATATATAAATGAACTCTAGTTAAAACCTAGTAAGCTCTCTATTATGTTTAACTTTTCCAAATAATTTGCTACTTTCTAGGGAAGTACAAATTTGTATTTTAAGAACCCGGATGCAATTTCACTGAAAAACAATAGAAAATTAACATGGAACATATCTTAGTAGTTAACGTGCTCCAGAAAAACTCTCTCTCTATATATATGAATAAATTTATATGAAAAAACTTGGCTTACATGATTATGGAGGCTAAGAAGTCCCACAGTCTGCCATCGGGAAATAGGAGACCCTGAAAAGTGGTGTAGGTCCCGTTTGAGTTCAAAGGCCTGAGATTCAGGGGAACCAATGGTGTAAATCCTAGTCCAGGGCAGTAAAAGACCGATGTCTCAGGTCAAGCAGGCAGGTAGGAAGGAATAAAAAAATGGATGAATTCCTCCTTCCTCTGCCTTTTGTTCTATTTAGGCCCTCAACAGATTGGTTGATGAATACCCACACTGGAGAGGATAATCTACTACTGAGCTTACCAATTCAAATGCTAATCTCATCTGAAAACACCCTTACTGTCAGCTGGTCACCCATTGGTCCAGTCAGGTTGACACATAGAATTAATAATTACACCATCCAAACATATAAAATTTTTAAAAAAGATTGAAAACACAAAAAATAAATTTATGTAATTTTAAAGACAATTCTGTTTCTTGGTAAAGAAAAGAATGAAATTCTGAGATGTGAACTCTTGTATTAGGACTGTCTCTTCCCTGTAATAATGTTGGTGGTTTAGGGCTGTACTCTTGGTCAGTAGGCCATCATGCACTCCTTGCACCTTGTGTTTTCATCTAAAGAGTAGCTCTGAAGGCTATAAGGAATCTTTACTCTGTTCAATCTGGAAATACCAAAGTTTTTGACTCCTTTTTTTCCTTCATGCAGAATTTCATTGTCCAACAGCTGAATGAGTCATTGTCCTATTTTCTGGGGCTTTCAGACCCACAAGGTAATAATAATTGGCAATGGATTGATAAGACACCTTTTGAGAAAAATGTCAGGTGAGTGCACAACTGGGGACTTGTTTACATGGAAAATCTGGGGAAATTTTGTTAGGAGTGACTAATAATGTTAATACTGATAATTATGATGATAACAGGATCTAACAATTATTAAGCATTACTAAGGATATGGATTATCTCACTTAAACTTCATGAAAACTTCTCTTTTTCTGAACTAGTTTTACGGATGAAAAACTAGATAACTTGCCCCAAATCAATAAACTATTAAGATGAGAAACTGGATTTCAACCCCATGTCCATCTGACTCCAGAGATGGTGCTCAAAACTACCATTTTGCTGACTTTAAACACAAGTCGACACTTAAACTTATCTCTAAATAATAAAATTTAAAATATCAGAACTATGTACAATTTTACATAATAATACTATTTACTTGTGGCTTTAAAAAAGAATTCAATTATACACTATCTTATTTGATTCTTCCAATATCTTGTGAATTACTTAGAGACCTTATTATAATTCCCATTTTTAAAGATGAGGAATTTAATACCTGGGGATATTGAATTACTTTCCCAAGATCAAAATGAGTGAGTATCAAGACAAGGTCTTGTAATTCCAAAAGTTATGTGCAATCTCCCGGTCTTTATCCAGAATGTATTCCCTGGAGGCAGGGTAACTTTTACATCCAGACTCAGGCATCCACACATTCACTTAAGGCAGAGCCATGAGAATAAAGACAGTTAGGAAGGTGATTAGATACACAGATGTAAGGAGATAGATAGTCTCTTTATTACATGTCAGTAAGAAGGAAATTATTTAATAACCTCAGTCAGGATAAAGGGTCTGTAGAAAGGAAAAAGATTGCTGCAGAAAGACCTAAGAATAAAACATCTCATAAAACTTTTGCCAGAAGAATGTTAAAGAAGCAAGTTTAAAAGTATGTGTCCATACTTGAAGCTTTGAGGAGAGCAGTATGAAAAGAAGGAACAATTAATGGAATGTACTCTCTTCCTAAATCCGACTCTGCTCACCCCAAACTTACATACTTTCTAATCATTCATCATGCATTCATTGAAGACGTGTATCTACCTTTCTGTTTTCCTTTAGATTTTGGCACACAAATGAACCCAATCATTCTGAAGAGCAATGTGGTTCAATAGTCTTCTGGAAACCTAAAGGATGGGGATGGAATGATGTTCTCTGTGAATCTAGAAGAAATTCAATATGCGAGATGAATAAGATTTATCTATGAGTGGAACTTCTTTCACTGGCATTTCAAAACTGAAACCTATCATGAAATAATTTCTTCCTGTAATTTACACATAATCCTTATGTTATAGAGGTTCATAGAAATGGAAAGATACCTGTCTCCCTGTAATCAATCTTATTCTAGTTTCCTCTTTTCCACTAATGATAGAATGAGCTCTTCCTCTTTCTTCCATACTTTCACTTGTTTTTCATTTTGCTCTTTCTTCATACTTCATTACCCAACATGTATTGTTTCAGAGACTGTACTATTTTGTTTGTTAGAAGATTTATAAGGCAGTATCTTTTGAAAATGATGACCTTTCTTCCTCAAAATATCATAAAGAAATCTTTTTGGTTGAGAACTGCAATCATCTGAAGACCTGAGAAGAGTTGAAAGATCTGTGTTCTAGATGGCTCACTTGCATGGCTGGCAACTTGGTGTTGGCCATTGCTAGGAGGCCTCAATATATCACCATGTGGAACTCTCGGGAGGGCTAACTGAATCTCCTTACAATATAGTGGCCGGCTGCATTGGAACAAGTGATCCAAAAAAACAAGTGAAAGTAATGTCTTTAATGAATTAGACTCAGCAGTTATGGACCATAACTTCTGCTCTACCCCATTGGTTGCATAAAACAGATCTGATATAATAAAGAACGGGACTACCCAAAGGCATGAATACCAGAATGTGAGAATCACCAAGGGCCATCTTGTAGGCTATCACAGCAAAATTTTTTTAAAAAGATACCAAAAATTAAGTGTAGTAAAAATTAAATTAATTAAAAAAATCTCCTATACTAAAATTATGGACTTCAGTTCATCAAAACATTATTAAGAAAATTAAATTTAAATGACTGGAGGAAGATATTTTAAACACTTAAAACTGACACAATATTAATGCCAAACATATATAAACATCTATTACAAATCAGTTAGAAGAACACAAAAAATGAGCAAAATATTTGAACACTTTATAGATGGGGAAATACAGACAATAAACATGTTTTTATAGAGATGCTCAGCTTCATTCATAATGTAATAACTGCAAGTCAAGACAATAATACATCATTTTATGTCAATTTTAATGGTAAAATTAAAAAATATAATTCCAAAAGTTGGAGGAAATATAAATTGATGACTACTTACATTACTGATTTGTGTTTAACTTTGTACAACTGCTTTGGAAAGTACATAAATATACATTTTCCTTGCATAAATACCATCCAAAAAGATGCTGTATTGGGAGAGATTCAAGATCTATGACATATGGTATTAAAATGGAGAGGTGTTCTAAGATTCTAGATTTTTTATTGGGCAGTAAAGTTAATATAAATATCCAACAACAACAACAAAATGAAACAAGAGTGTAAAGAGGATAGCATAGGATGAATCTAAAATTATGATCAGGCCGGGCATGGTGGCTCAAGCCTGTAATCCCAGCACTTTGGGAAGTTGAGTGGGGTGGATCATCTGAGGTCAGGAGTTTGAGACCAGCCTGGCCAATATGGCAAAACCCCATCTCTACTAAAAATACAAAAAATAATCAGGCATGGTTGCATGCATCTGTAATCTCAACTACTTGGGAGGCTGAGGCAGAAGAATTACTTGAATCCAGGAGGTGGAGGTTGCAGTGAGCTGAGATCGTGCCATTGCACTACAGCCTCAGAGACAAGAGCAAAACTTTGTCTCAAAAATAAATAAATAAATAAAATAATGATTAGTATGCTATTGTGCAAAGTGTAAATATGAAAAGTAATCCATTGGGGCTAGATTAATGCAAGTTTGGGGTTCTTGACTTAGAGCTTTGCGTTCAAGATTACAGTGAAGTTGTGCTCCCAGGATCCAGAAGGCATTGTCTTTGTCTTCATGCCACCATTACCATAATGAAGCTGGTGGCTAGACACTACATACTCCATCTAACTGTAACAAGTACATCTGGAAAGTCACCATTTATGATCTTGATCATCAGGCAGAAATACAAGCAAGAAATTAGCTCTTGCTTTGTTTTTACTTCCCACATCTCATGCTATTGAATTTAATGGTTCCAAATTTGCATCAATAACATAATTGAAAAAGAGTCTTAAAAATATTGTTCATGGCTTTCCCAACTTTGAAGCACTGGCAGGCACAATGAAGGAAGTGGGAATGGATGTGAGTGCTGATTGACTAGATCCAGTATGGTTGTGCCATAGCATTCTTTAAATACATAGCTATATTTGACCTAAACATTACTATTCTTAAGTGAGATGGTGCATACTTTTCCTTTTGGTGCTATCCTAGTTTGGAATCAATTTATGCTAGCTTCATAAAAAATGAGTCAGAATATTTTTCATTTTTCATTCTCTGAATGATTTGGTTAAATTTGCCCATAATGTAAGTGTATATTTCTTAGAACTAGTTAAATTTATCTCTAAATTTCTCTAGACCTGCTCTCTGTTTAAGACTACTTTTTTGACCATATTTTTCTTTTCTTCTGTGATTTTGAGACTTAGGATTTCTAACCCTTCTTAGTTAATTTAGAATTTTTTTTTAAGAAAATCATCTATTTCATATTAAATTTGTTGATTTAATCTGTGAATAGTGTATGTATATAATTCTAATCTACCCTTGCATCTAAAAATGTGTAGCATTTTTAGTTTTAATTAATTTTAAATGTATCTTTCTTCTTCTAACTTGATCAAGCTTGTCAAAGTTATATTAAATGTCCTTTAAAAAAGAGAGTCAGTTTTCCTGATGGTATGCACTTTTATTCTATTTAATTAATGGCTGTTTTTGTTATTAATTGATCCTTCACTCTTTGAATTTATTTTAATCTTATCTAGCTTCTTAAAATAAATTAATATAAAGGAATTCATTGATCTCCAGTCTATTTTTTTCAAATAAAGCATTAAAGGCTATATTTTTACTTTGGGTATTACTTTAACCCAACAGAACTTTTAAATTTTAATAATCTCATTATTTCTCATTTTTACATAGTAGTAGTCGTGGGAAGGACTTTTTCTTCATCTAGGAGTTATTTAGTATAGTGTTTTAAAATTTTTATGAGACTAGACAAGGTTTGGCTTCTATTTTGAAAATTTCTTACTACATTTTATTTAAAGAATGCAACATACGCATTTTATAATACTTTTAAGAGTTTATTATATTTTCTTTATGGCCTTGAATTAATTCAGACAAGAAAAGCTAAACTGTGTTAGACAATTGGTGAGGATAATGGGTTAGGCTTATTTAGGACTGCTTTCATTCTGATTTATTACATAACAAGAAAACAAAGCATACAATGAGGAAACCTCCTCCTCAGTGGAGAGTATTCACATGGATTAACAAGTATCCTCACATTCTGAGTCTGTTCTGAGAGGTATAACTTCATACCTGCTTCCCAAACATGCTTGATATTAATTCAGCAACATTGTTGTTTCCACGTCCCTGAGCACCCAGCCAAGCCACCAGGCACTGACTGTGAATTGATACAGATCTTTACCTCAAGCCTCTTTTCTTCTAGGCAAAGTCAACCATCAGATGCACAATTTGAAGTTATTTTCAGTGAGAAGGTTTCCACTTTTCACAGGCTTCCTGAGCTAGTTCTGAGTAGAGCTATAACTTTAAACTGTGTTCCTTTAGTGAGTGCCAAATAATGAGCACAACCATGTGAAAACAAAGCTTTTTTTCCTTCTGAGATAAGTAGTCATAGAGAACTCCCTAGGAGGTCATAGGTGAGGATTTAGGGAGAAGTAACATTATGGCAGAAATAAGCACACAGAGATTGTGAATCAAAGTGTTTTGAAGCCAATTTATATCCAATCATATTTAAAATGCTCCAAAATTTCCCATGATACACCAGCTAACCCAGTTTATGAAGGTCTTCCATGGTGATATGGTTTGTCTCTGTGTCCTCATCCAAATCTTATCTTGAACTGTAATTCCCATGTGTCAGAGGAGGGGCCTAATGGGAAATGATTGAATCATGGGGAAAGACTTCCCTTTTTATGATAGAGTTCTCACAAGATCTGGTTGTTTGATAAGTGTGTAGCTCTTCTTCCTTATCTTGCTCTCTCCTACCACCATGGTAAGATGTACTTGCTCTCTCTTTGCCTTCTGCCATGACTGTAAGCTTCCCAATGCCTCCCAGTCATGCTTCCTTCAGTCTGCAGAACTGTGAGTCAAACCTCTTTTCTTCAACTACCCATTCTCAGGTAGTTCTTTATAGCAAGTGTGAAAATGGATGAATACAGAAAATTGGCATCATGAGAGTGGAGCACTTCTATAAAGATACCCCATATGAAATTCCACATGAAAATGTGGAAGTGACTTTGGAACTGGGTACCAGCAGAGGTTGGAACAGTTTGGAGGGCTTGGAAGAGGACAGGAAGATGTGGGAAAGCTTGGAACTTCCAAGAGACTTGTCAAATGGTTTTGACCAAACTGCTGATGGTGATATGGACAATAAAGTCCAGGCTGAGGTGCTCACAGATGGCGATGAGAAACTTGTTGGGTACTGGAGTAAATGTCACTCTTGCTATGCTTTAGCAAAGAGACTGGTGGCATTTTGCCTTAGAGATCTGTGGAACTTTGAACTTGAGAGAGATGATTTAGGATATCTGGCAGAAGAATTTCTAACCAGCAAAGCATTTAAGATGTGACCTGGCTCTTTCTAAAACTGTACACTTATATGCATGAACAAAGAGATGATCTGAAACTGCAACTTATATTTAAGAGGGAAGCTTGGAACAAAAGCTTAGAAACTTTGCAGCCCAGCCATGCAGTAAAAAAGAAAAACCTACTTTTTGGGAGAAAGTCAAGCCTGCTGCAGAAATTTGTGTAAGTAAAGAGGAACTGGAGTCAAATGTTAATGGGAAAAATGTATTCAGGTCATTTCAGAGATTTTCTTGGTAGTGCCTCCCATCACAGGCTTGGAGTCCTAGGAAGGATAAGTGGTTTCATGGGCTGGGCCCAGGGCCCTGCTGCTCTGTGCAACCTCAGGACCAGGCCCCTTGCATCCCAGCTGATCCATCTCTAGCCATGGCTAACAGGGTCAAGGTTTAGTTCAGGCCATTGCTTCAGAGGGTGCAAGTCCCAAGCCTTGGTGACTTCCACATGTTGTTGGGCCTATGGGTGCACAGAAGACAAAAGTTGAACTTTGGGAGTTTCTGTCTAGATTTCAGAGGCTGTATGGAAACACCTGGATGTCCAGGCAGAAGTCTGCTGCAGGGGTGGAGCCCTTAAGAAGACAATCTCTACTAGGGCAATGCAGAGAGGGAATGTGGGGTTGGAGACCCTACATGGAGTCCCCCGCTGGGGCACTGCCTAATGGAGCGGTGGGAAGAGGGCCATCATCTTCCAGACCCCAGAATTGTATCCACTGACAGTTTGCACTGTGCACCTGGAAAAGCTGTAGGGACTCAATGCTAGTCCATGAAAGCAGCTGCAGGTGCTGTAGCTTGCAAAGCCATAGAGGCTGAACTACTCAAGGCCTGGGAAGCCCACTTCTTGCATCAGCGTACCCTGTATGTGAGACATGGAATCAAAGGAGATTATTTTGGAGCTTTAGGATTTAATATGGCTGGGTGTGGTAACTCATGCCTGTAATTCCACAAATTTGGGAGGCCAATGCAGGCAAATCATCTGAGCTCAGGAGTTTGAGACCTGCCTAAGCAACATGGAAAAACCCTTTCTCTATGAAAAATACAAAATTAGCCATGTTCAGTGGCATGTGCCTGTAATCACAGCTACTTGGGAGGCTGAGGCAGGAGAATTGCTTGAGCCTGCAAGGTGGAGGTTGCACAGAGCTAAGATCATGCCATTGCAATCCATCATGGTGACAGAGATAGACCTTATCTCAAAAAAAATTTTTAAATAACTGCCCTGCTGGCTTTTGGGCTTGCATAGTGCCTGTAGCCTCTTTACTTTGGCCAATTTCTCCCTTTTGGAGTGGGACCATTTACCCAATATCTGTATCCCCATTTTATCTTGAAAGTAACTAACTTGTTTTTCACTTTATAGGCTCATAGGCAGAAGGGTCTTGCCTTGTCTCAGATGAAACTTGGCCCTTGGTCTTTTGAGTTAATGCTGGGATGAGTTAAGACTTTGAAGAACCATTGAGAAAGCATGATTTGTTTTGAAATGTGAAAAAAACATGAGGGCCTGGCTGGCAAGGCTGCCAAATAGGAACAGCTCCTGTTTGCAGCTCCCAGTGAGATCAATGCAGAAGGCTGGTGGCTTATGCATTTCCAACTGAGGTACCTGGATCATCTCATTGGGACTGGTTAGACAGTGGGTGCAGCCCATGGAGAGGGTGAACTGAAGCAGGGTTGGGTGCTGCATCACCTGGGAAGCACAAGGGGTCAGGGAACTCCCTCCCCTAGTCAAGAGAAGCTGTGATCTTACTCTAAGCCAAACAAGTATTGTTTGATCCGTCATAGTTGGCATCAGTTCGATGGGATCCACTGAATCAGGGCTATCGGGCCTACTCATTGATATATTATCATCTTCATCCATATCATCATGTGCAGGCTGCTCTGGCAACATCACCCTTGCCTCAGAGAGGGCAGGGGGATCATCAAAGACACTGCCATCATTATTACTAATAAGTTTGTCATCTAATATTCCACCATATTTCCTTCTCCAAAATTATTCTCCTTACATTGGTCTTCATATTCTAAATGGTTAACTTTCTCATTTAGATTGCTGGTGCTCTGCTTAGACTCTAATAGGAAGTTAGAAGCAGTAATGCTTACTAACATGTCCTCATTGTCATAAACACAGTCTTCTCTCATTATCTTATAATCATCCATTCCAAAATTGCAAAAATTATTTTCTTGTAAGATACTGATGTTCCCAATTTCTTCTCTCCTGGTTATCTCTTTGATTCAAGCTGAACTGCTGGGCTACTTTGATGTCATCTCCCATCCAAGTACTAACACCAGGCCCTACCCTGCTTAGCTTCTGAGATCTGACAAGATTCGGCACATTCAGGGTGGTATGGCCATAGACTACTTTGATGTCATCTAAGTCAGCTTACAATGCCATTACTTGAAGACTAAAGTAATGGCATTATAAACTGCTTCCTGATTTTCAAGTAGGCCAACAACACCTGACCAAAAAGCCATCTTTATGTTAATGAATGCTACATTACAGTCTGCAAAAAGGTATTTGTCTCTTCTGTGATAGATTCAAACAACTCCCAGTCAGAGATGTCCTGATATCCCTAATGCCATTTCCACCTTTGGTGAGGTGATACTCTCCAGGCTGCTCTCTAAATTGCACTCAAATACATAAGCTTTGGTTAGCTTTTTATCCCAATGGGCCGCTAGCCAAATTTTGGTCAGAGATCCTCTTTTACTGAGGAGAAAACGTGCATGGAACATTATTCTGGTTGGCTATGAAAATAAAAGGAAGCTTGCTCTCTGCTGGGAGTTGGGTGGGCTGGGTGGCCCAGGGACAGAAAAAGGGTTGGTAGAGGGGTGGAAAAGGGGGGAAACCTTATGAGGTGTAGCTTCAGAGCAGCTCCTGCTGCCTACTGCAGCCACCGCCTCCTTTCCGATTCACTCAAACAAGATGGTTTGCTCCAACATGTTTTATGTTCCTTTTTTCTTTCTGCTGCCTTGCCTTCCATTTGATTGATTATTTAAAAATTATTATTTTCCTCATTTGTCATTTTGGCAGTCACATGCTTTTTGACTACTTATAGTAGTTATTCTAGAAATTACAACATGCAACAATGACCTATCAAACCACATTTGGTTCATCCATTCCATCCATTGATGAACACTTGAGTTGCTTTTTTTTATGACTCTTGTGAATAATGCTGC